GTCACACTTTCAAGAGGATTGTGGACGCAAACAACTTCTGCTAAACATGTTCTCACTTGCAAATAGCCTCTGAGTGAAATTCTGCATGTTTGTTTGGGGTTTTTTTAAAACAGCTTTGGAGATTTCAGTAATTACCTGACATCTGCTGCAAATGCACTGATGCACTTTGCACTGAAATTCAAACTGAGGCTTTTGTGGCGTTTATCACTCTATCAATACAACTACTGCTGCAGCCGGGCACAGATTAAGCGTGGGCATCCGTAGGCGCTATCATTTTTGGGACTAACAGTCTTCCTGCTGTTACTATTTATATTTTAGTAACAGTTTGTTGAACTCACAGTTTCTCTTCCTTCCAACTAAAAACCAAACGATCTTGCAAAAGATGAATGCAGAAATAGACATGTTTGGGGATGTTTGGGCCTAACTAATTTTGAGTTGGGCTTGCTATTGTTGTTGTTGTGAAGATATTCAAATTGCCCCTCTCCTTCATAATGCTTCCACCCACTCTTTAAACACTTGAACCCGGCCCCCACCGACATTGACACTCGGTGCCATGGTACCAGTCTCAGCCAGCTGTGGAGGGAGGAGGCCCTGGGTAGTGACATTGGCAGTGGTGGAGAGACGGTCCCGGTGACCCCTACGCCATTACGTTAGTGTTGTATGTGTGTGTATTGTGGCACCATGGTCTTTGTTTGACATCACTGGCCTTTGTTCCTTCCCAATCATGGCAGATACAATGGATATTGTATCTGCTGCCACAAAGAGATGCTCTTTCTTTGGGCCCCCAGAAGCCAGCGTATCACCACCATCCCTTAATCGCCTGGTGACGCCTGTGACCACTGGACAAAGAGGGCTGGACCAGATTTAGTAAGAGCAGAGCTGTGAGGTGTTGGCACAAGCATTTGAGCTTTCACATACTGGATGAAGTCAGCGCTGAGAGGCTTATTTTACAGTAGCAATACCTTGTAGAGAGCTCTGTACACTTGTTGGCACTGGAACCTTTCTTGTAGCGGAGTACAGCATCAGAAGCAGCAAATGTTTCCGGTCAGGCAGCCTTGGCTTTGCAAAGCCTTAGGTGCTTTCCTCTATCCCATTTCTGGCAATGCATTTATTAACACTTTGGATGTTTGCTACCTGCTTCAACAGCTCAGCTTGCTCTGGAAGAAGTGCGTGAGATTGCTATAAAGTCAGTGTTGGCTGCTTTTGTTTGGACGCTTTATTGGGAGACGCTGCTTGAACTCTTGTTTGTCACTGCTGTCTAATTTATCTTCTTTTTTTTCTTGGTCTTTTTTCTGTTGCTTTCTTGCCTGTTGGTGGGGTTTTGGTGTATGCTCATGGATTTTCAGACGAAGCGAGGCCTTTTTCATAGCTCCCCCACTGGGTGAAAGAGTCCCCCACTGTGGCATAGATGTGCTGTGTGGTTATATGTGCGGTGTGTGCCGCCTGTGTGCTGATATATTATGCCCCCTCAGGTTGCTATGATTGCTGTATCCGGTGCATTGGGGCAGTGCCCTACCCATCCCTGGTGGCCACCTTGCTGTGCTATGCTGGCATGGCATTATTTTGTGGCTGCGGGCACGAAGCGCTGACCCAAACCGAAGTCCTCGTTGAGACTTACTTTGCCCGCAACATTCAGGACTATGTGGTCATGGCCTCTTTGTGAGTGATTTTTCAATAACTTCTCTCAGTTGTGGCTTCTTTTTTTTTTAAGTCTCTGGCATTGCTTTGTTTGAACTGATTGACTGACGTCTCTCTGTGACTGTTCCAGTATCAAATACTTCCAGTACGTGATCTATGGTCTGGCTTCATTTTTCTTCCTCTATGGTATCCTGCTACTGGCTGAGGGCTTCTACACAACAAGTGCTGTCAAACAGACCTTCGGCGAATTCAGGAGTACCCAGTGCGGCCGCTGCCTCAGCCTGACGGTGAGCACATGGGTGGGGAGGAGGGAGTGAGGAAATGAAGAGGGAGGGAAAGTGTGACATTGTTGAGATGCTGAATTCTGGCTTGTTTTGAGTCTAATAAATATGCTCTTTGTTTCTGCAATTTCCACATGAATTATGGTTCATTACAGATTTAATGACACCACATTTATCACGCGGAAAGTATCTATTAGCATCTGTGTTGCGATTCTGTGACCTTGTGTGCTGCACTTTTTTGCTACAACAGTTCATCATAGTGACGTACATCTTGGCCTTCATCTGGCTGGCGGTGTTTGCCTTCAGTGCTATCCCAGTCTTCTTCTTGTTCAATATGGAGCAGACCTGCCACACCGTCAACATCCTGTCTGAAACAACCCCCAGCATTAATCAGCATGGCTGGATCTGCATGGACGCCAGGCAGTATGGTGCGTTGCTCGTGTAACTACTGACCACATGGTCCCCCTGATGGGAATGTTAATGCGCCCTTGAAAGCAATTAATCACCGTGTAGTGGCTGCTAGACTGATGGCTATATTAGTCAGGAAATAATGAAGAGAACTACACCTTTATGGTCATTTCTTCACTATAGTTTCCCTGACATGCTTCAGGCAAGCCAGAGCATACACAGATCATCAAATCTCGTCATAATTCAGCCATAGTATGAGGTATCTCACTTATGTTATGTCTCCATTTAAGGTCTGCTTCCTTGGAATGCAATGCCAGGCAAGTCTTGTGGGACAACCTTAGCAGCAATCTGCAAAACTAGTGAAGTGAGTAGAGTCTTTATACAGTTTGATATAGCATTTTGGCATCATCACATTAAAATCGCTGCTCAAAATCAACATAAAATCTGTTTTGAATTATTAGCAGGACAACGTGCATATGAGAGAGCTCTCAGTAACACACAAGAGTTTGATTAAACGCCCTGCATGTGTCTCAAGCTAACCTTTTTTTTATTATGTCTTCCAGTTCTATGTCACATATGACTTGTACATAGCTGCATTTGCCGGTGCTGGGATCACTCTGTTAGCACTGGTGAGCTAATTTTTGCATTATTTCTAGGACATTTAAGCTAACTCAATTTAAACAGCTGAATCAAATTTTAATTTTAAAATGAAACCACTCTGCGGTGTTGGTGTTTTTCCTACGTCATCATAATAATACTTGTCAAGGATTAATATTGCCAGTGACCAACAATATTTTCTGAGATTTCAGTTAGCACAGGTCAAGAAGTTAGCTACGTTAGCTTTAAAAACTATCATTACCAAACCAATGCAAGTAACCTAAATCTGGCTGGCAGCAAGCCTATCTTGATAATATATATATATTTATTGCATTAATTAATAAAGAAAACCCTTGAAATGCTTACCATTTATTCCACAAGGGGGTCATATTTGAACAAGGGCATCTTTTTCTTATTTTTCCCCCTAAATTGCAATGCTGTGACATCACAACAGCATGATTGGCCAGTTTTAGTGTTCATCCTGGACATACATTAATATGACATATATGTTTTATCATATTATCTACATTTATCATATTATATAATGTTATGATGAAGCAGGAAAAACACCATCACTGGTACATCCGATAAACGTTTTTTCTCAATCTAGGCACTTGAAAATGAGTTTCCAGAAACAGTGCTCCTTTTACTGTTTAAAGTATCATTTATTTATCAAGTATCACCTATGTGTTGTGAGTGGAACTGCTTCTGATTAACATTGTGCACAGCAAAGTATGTGAATTATTTGGAGGAACGGCGACACATTGCCAATGTCAGTTTTCAATGCTATGATCTTCACACAAAAAAATTCCAGTCACCTTGTTTGTATTGAGCAGAAATAAATGAATTTTCAACGTGTGGATTTCTCTAAACCAAAACTCTGTTCGTGACCACACACAGTCAGAGATGACTATTAAAGTTTGCTTTCTATCTTGGATGATTAAAGCATTATACTGATCACTTCTCCTCTTGGATACAAATGAATATTCATTGTCTGCTTGCAAAAAAACTGCTTACAGTACTTGTATATGTGTAGAAGCTGATTATTTTTTTTCATTTTATTAATTCTTCCACTCACTCTAGTTCCTGTATCTGGTTGCTACCACCTACAACTACGCAGTTCTGCGGTTCCTGGGCAGAAAAGGCATTCGCTAAGTGCAGCGCCTCAGTTTTCTCTGTTAACCCCATTGTCCAACAACGAGATGGACAGTCAGCCTACATTCATCCTCTGGGAAACGGCAACCTCCAAACCTGGATTGCCTGCTATTCTTTAAACCTTTCCAATAACAGAAATAGTTTCTCATCACTATTATGTATGAACAACACACAGAGAGATGAAGATAATTTACCTCCAGCAATGAGCTCTGGCCTGTGCATCAGATCCTCCTTTCAAGATGATTCTCTTAGCTTTGTTGTTCATTTTCCCATTGCTGGTTGTATCTCTCACTTTATCCTTTGTGTGAGGCTTTGTTGGTGCTCATTGTGATTTATGATGTTTCATGAATAATTAAGAGCAATGACAGCTTGCCTCGCAAGTCATAACTGCATGCACAGTATTCAGTGGTTACTGACACCCAAATTGGCTCTCAGTATGATTTTGCGGCTTCTCTATTATCAGCCTTCAAAACTGCATGAACTAAGACGAGTGAGGCTGAACGAACCAAATTTTCCCGTTGAGCTTTCACTTACAATAAACATGCTTTTTAGTCATACTTATACAGTCTCTTTTTTTCTCTTTCGTTTAAATGCTACCATGGTAGGTGGGATAAAAAGGTGTTCAGCCCAATATAAGCTGTTTTAGGTTGCAGAGGGGTTGATGCTTCAGTAACTTGTCTCCAGGTGTTTAGCGTGTAGCCCTGCTACTTAGACTTGTGTGTGCTTATTTGAAATTAAGGCTCATTAAAACATTTAAATCTGATGCGTGGAATTTTATTCTAGCCATATACATTTTTTTTTTTTTTGCTGTATTTTTAATTTATCCTTTTCATTGCAGAATCATTAATCATAACAATATACTGCCCTTTTACTGGATACAGTTGTTACAAAAAAAGAAAGAAAGAAGAAGTTGATAGGGAAGTTATGGGAAATAATGGACAGCACATTCATCAAGGTATGCTTGGACTATTTTCTGGAAACATATTTGTCTCAAATAGGCATCATTTCTTAACCGCTTTTGAAAAACACACTCCACACTGGATCACTTGGTCCTTCAAGAACATGGGGGTCAGCATATCTCCAAGGGCCCTAGCACAAACCCCGCACTGCAAAAGCATACTCAGTGTTAATTTCACGTACGAGAGATAGTGAAAGGATATCATAAAAGCACAGATATACAGCATTTTTACAAAAGAAGACATAACAAACCTTTAAACAGTCTGGGTGGCAGTTCATCGAAGGCTCACTGAACATGATCTTGACATTTCCATTAATGATTTGGTTGCAGAAGTAACAAGGAGATTTGCCATGACTGAAGCAGGTGGTTAAAAAACAAAGCAAAGGTTATGAACCTTATTAATTTTTACACTTATGTACACTCAAAAAAAACATTCTTGGCTCTCATAAACACAAAGCAATAATTTTGAATAAATGTAACTGAAATATATGAAATCAAAAGTGAATTTATTCAAATACTTTATTCATGACCAGAGTCCATTAAATTACTGTTTTACATTTAATGTATGTAACTAAACCACTTGGAAAATTTACATGTAATCAAATTACTTAATGTCAACATTTTAGGGATAGATATTTTTTGAGTGTTGTATAACTATGTATAGTAAGAGTGAGAAACTTACATGGGCTTATTCAGAGTTTTTGTTGAGTTTACGTCCTCTGCAGGCTTTTGAGACACATCAGAACTACAAAAACAGTCACAAACAATGAGAATGATTTTAGTGCTCAAATAAAAATATGCGAACAACACTGAATACTCTACTGTTCCTTTATTTTTTTAAACAAAAACACTCACATATGGCTATCATCACACTTTTGGTTTGGTTTGAAGTCCTCAGAGTGGGGTTGTCTTGGATCTTCCACAGGTTTAGGAACAGCTTCAGCCTTGGCCGTCTCCACATCTAAAGCATCAGTTAGTCTAATAGCTGCGTGCTCTGTGTTATCCAAAACACCTTCTGCATCTGAAGCAGCTACTTGGTCAAGGGCATCTTCAATGTTCAACTCTTTGTCACAGTCTGCTGTTGTCTTAGGTGTTGGATCAAAACTTTGTTCAACAACAGTGCCTTCATCTTCGCGCTCAACCGCCTCTTCAGTTCCGCTCTTAAAAACCAGCTCAGAGGGTGGTGCAGACTCGACTTTAAACTCCACACCCTTGGCAGTGTCAGCATCGGATTGACTAGATGGTGCAGGCAAAGTGTCGGTGACTGATATGGTACTGTTTTGTAGAGCAGTTTCTTCTTCTGGTGTTGCATCACTTACAGCAGGTGTTTCCACACCGCCTTGGAGAGAAGCATCTTTTCCCGATGTTGCCAAAGCAGGTGGTCCATACATGTTTACTCCTGCGTGCTCTAAATTAGTTGTATTCGGCGGTTCTCTTTTGATTACAGATTCTCCGGAGACTCCAGCGGTGCTTTCACTCTCGCTACTCTCTCTCACTGTGCCTTCCGCAGCAGAGATTTCTGCAGGGGGATTTTTCACATCAGCATCTGCGGAGGCCTTATCCTCCTTGTGACAGGTGTCAGCTTGTGCATAAGCATGTTGTTCCGTGTTTTCTGCAGTTGCTTCAGTAAATGTCTTTTCTGGCTGTGCATTAATATTTTGAATAGGTGCTTTTGTGGGGGGTTGAGGCCTGTAAAAGAGAGTGTTACTTCTTCCCCACTTTGCAACAAAAAATTTGATTTGTAAGCAAAATAACAAACACTCAGCATCTTTAAATTTAACACTTCCAGTTACAGTCTCATATACTAACTTTATCTTCACTGTTGAGCCTTCAGGCCGAGTGTCTTTCTGAGCTGAAATATTTTCAGCACTTGCCTGATTATCTGAATTCCTAAAACAGACAAACAAAGCACTGAGTATTTGGTTTAAATGTTCAGATTTAACTGAGATTAAGCTTGAAATATGCAGATTTGCAGAGAAGCAGTAAATATTTTCTCGGGTTTTGCACAGTTTAATTTACATTCAGCACCAACATACCCTTCAGATGAAATGACCTTTGCCTTTTGAAGAGGAGAACTTGGTGGAGGATCTATTGCTCTACAAGGTACGAATAAGAAGAGAAAACCCCTTTATAGCCTTATATTTTCTTAATTGCTTCTTCAGAACCAATAAGAGATTTCATCACCTTCTAACTATGTTGGCTCAGAAATAAAGTCTAAGCCAAATGCTCCACATTAGAGTAGTGACTGATGTCTCTGGTGAGCAATAATATAAATGTACATCATTAGCTATCACATATAGTGCTTGCTTAATGAATACAGCGTCAGCAGTATTCTGGGAGTTTCAGAATCTCTTATATAAACAACGTTCATCCATAACTTACATTAAAAAAAAAAATTTGTATGAAGAGTGCAACCTGCATTGAAGGATGAGCATCCTGAGCATGTGAAGTCAGTGACTGATGAAACAACGCTAACAAATAAGGCCTTAAATGTCAACACAATGTTTATTAATGGTGTAAATATCACCAGACACGTTGCAGTGAAGTGGTGGCTGAGGCTGGTAATAAATGAGAGACACACAAACTAAAATCAAACTTTTCCCGCAGGAGCAAAGCCTCTTGATACAGAAGAATATGCTGTATACACAACAAACTGTGAGGTAATGGTCCCTTTGCAGCTTAACAAGTGACAGCAAAACATGTGGTGTTTGTCATTCATGAGTGTGTGAACTGAACTATTAATTCAGAAGGTTTATGACTTGTGTCAATTGCTGTCATCTAAAACAGAGAATATACACACATTTGTCTATTATCTTTTTAGTGCATTTCTATTATTTCTGTTTAAAAAAAATCTGACTTGATAGAAAATGTTTATGGACTTTGAACCATCAGACCCAGGGAACAGATGCGTAAAAGGGCGAAAGGGCGAAAGGTACAGCAGATGGCTAAGACATCAGCACAACTTTTAATTTCGGAACATCCAAATAAGGACAACATAACAGTGTTTGCTGGGTTAGTTTTGGTAAGAACACTTTGGGTAAGCTTAATTAGAGTAGTAGTAATTAATTAGGGTAGATTAATATACTACCACATTTATTTAGACATTGCTAAGATTTACATACAAAATTGATTGTCAATTGTGTATAGATAGATAGATAGATAGATAGATAGATAGATAGATAGATAGATAGATACGTGAATATATTCTAATATATTCATAAAAAGAACACCAAATCATCAAGACATCAACAGTGGTGGTGGTGTGATAAATTAATGGAACAATGATGTAAGCATTATGCTTGATGTAGCAGCACGAATACACAAGGTACGGATAAGAAGTTAAATACACCAGCAAGCCCTTTTGGAAAGGTTTTAAAGAGGCCTAGACAAAGTGGGACTTACATCCAGTTGAGATATTTTGGCATGTTCTCTATTAGACTGTTCAGCCCTTCAGTGTGGCTAAATTAAAATAACTTCAGTATCACAAACGCTTCAGTTCCTGCTGCCAGGGGTGGCACAACGAGAGGGCAATTACTTTTCACACAAGACCAGGTAGTGTTGGACATTTTTTCCCCTTAATAGAGGAAAGGATAATTTAAAAACTGTTTTTGTATTTACTCAGGTTATCCTTGTCTAATATTAAAATGTGTTTGTTGTTCTGAAACATGTAAATGTGACAAATATGTACAAAAAATAAAATAAATAAATCAGGAAGGGAGGAAAATACTTTTTTTCACAACAATGCTGGCTAGCTGATTATCATTACATGGGCACTGTAGTGCAGTTTATTGATTTGGTCAGTGGTCAGCGTCTCCATAGGCTTGGGCTCTTATTTTCTTGATACCTCTATTTTGAAAGCGTCGTGGAAATACTTCCGGTCTTGTTCCGCTTTTCCCCGGCTTCGTAAAGTAGTAGCATATTGCTAAGCGGAGAAGTTAACGGCGATAGTCAAATGTAGCAGCATTATTTTAATTCTCTGTAACTAGCAGACATATCAGTGGCCACTGTGGAATCAACACTACCCAGGTGGGCTGTTTTCAAGTGTAGTATCGTCTCAAAATTGCACCACAGTCCTTACGGCTGCTGTTTTACATCAAAAATAATACCAGCACGGTCCGAGACGAGTAAGTCGCTTCGTATTTTACGACTTTTACTTTTAGTAAAAGACATAATAGTAGTTAATAGAAAATTCATGTGGCCTGCTGTATCATTTTTAGAGCTAAATGAGGTGCCTCAAAAAATTTTACTTTCCCAATGCTTTCCACCAGGTTTTGAAAGAAACTTGACATAGGTCTATCAGGTTACTTAACACTGATACAGTGTTTTTCGAAACAAAATATAGAATAAATATTATTTTTGGCCCGGTTAAAAAAAATTAATTTAAATGGCATTCTGTTCCTTGTTATTTCAATACATTAGTGCAGGCTCTAAACATCGCTTTGGGCCCCTTTTAAGCAAAAAAAAAAAAACAACAACAAAAATAGCAATATCTTTTATTCTTATTGAAGTGAGCTTAGAGATCTAAAAATGCATTCTACCTGTTTAATATAGTCAGATTTATAGGTGACTAGCAAACTCGAGCCTTTTATATCTGGTTGTCATGAGTGCTGAAGGACTGCAATAAACTCCAACTACACAAAGTACAAAGCAATTATTTCTGGTAAAGTATGTGTATGTATTTAATTAGTAAGCTTATAACAATGTCAATGTGATTTGTGATTCTTTTTGGTGCTTAGCCAGGCCACCTTGTGGCTGTCGGATTTTTACTTGTATGGTTCATCTCAGTATTTTCTTGTGTTGCCTTAGGGGGGGGAAATGCCATCGAGAAATCACCTTGACAAAATCGGGAGGAGGAAAAAGAAGAGGTGGACAGAGGACGCCATGGAGCGTGCACTGATAGAGGTCAAGTCAGGCAGGTGCACAGTGAGACAAGCCGCCAAGGAGTTTGGAGTCCCTAAATCTTCACTGGGGGACAGAGTCAGTGGACGGGTGACCCCTGGGAGCCGTAGCGGCCCGGCTCAGCTTATAACATCTGCTGATGAGGAGTTGTTGGTCGAGTTCTCCTTATACATGTCCAGGCATGGATTCCCACTTACAAAGCAGCAGCTGGTGTCCTTCGCATCGTCAATTTATAAGCGGCAACACCGGAGGGTGGCATTTTCCAAACTGGGCCAGACATGGTGGCTCAATTTTAGAAAAAGACAAGAGAAAAACATCACTATTCAGCCAGCAGACAATGTTGTCCGTGGGAGGACTGTGTCAGTGAGAAAGGAAGCAGTAGATCAGTTTTTTCACCTCCTGAGGACTGTTGTAGATGCTCATGAGCTCAGAGACAAGCCTCACCAAATTTTCAACTGCAATGACACAGACTTTCAGCTGAGTAGGAAGAGGGTGACTCTCCCTAAATCTGTCGGTCTAGGCTACAAGCCAGCGTCAGGCTCCAGGGACCATGTCTCCGTCTTGGCTTGCTTTAATGCGGTTGGAGAGGACATCCCCCCATTTATAATCTACTCAAAGGCCTATCCAGGGGGAGTATGCTACAAGACACAAGGACCACCAAATGCCCTATATGGGTGGTCAGACTCGGGATGTATCAATTCAGACCTCTTTAAGAAATGGTTCCTCAAACATTTTCTCGTGCACGCACCAAAGGAGCGTCCACTGCTGCTGATTTTCGATGGCCACAAGTCACCCGTGAACCTGGAGGTGGTGGAAACAGCTCGTAAGGAGGATGTCATTCTTCTGTGCCTCCCACCTCATTGCTCCCACATCCTCCAGCCACTCAATGATGGTCTCTTTGTGGTCCTCAAGCAGCACTTTGCTTCATTCCTAGGCGACGGCTACACTACTGACACCCACTTTGCAGTTAGCAAAAAGGAGTTCTCAGGGGTTTTCAAAGGAACATATCAGGTAGCAAAGGAGGAGGAAGGTGTGAGAATTGTGAAGGAAGGCTTTAGGAAATCTGGGATCTACCCACTGAACCCCTTCACCATCTGTGACAGACACATGATATCAGCCCACCACACTGGCCAGATAGCTGCACCCTCCTTGTCAACACCAGTGCCGGGAGTGCACACTGTAGGAGACCTCACAGATGCTGGGCCATCTTCCTAATTCATCGCTATAAAAATGAAAGTGTGATTGACTGCATAATTGAGCAAAGCAGAAATGAGCACAGGCTCGTTCTGTCTTTCAAAATACTGAATTAATTACAGTCCTGTTTTTAATATAGTGAACCACCTCCTGCTGCCTCCCTGCAGAGAGCCCTGTTTGAGGAAGGATTGCATTGTTATTAATTACTACTCAACAATGAGCTCAGATTTAGTTATCGGGTAATAATGTTTGAATGCTGGACAACTGTGGTTTTCAATGGGTTGGGAGTCCCAAGGTGAACATGATTTTCAAAAGGATAATAAAAGAAAAATAGAGGAAATATTTCTGCTTAACAAAAATCTGTAATTTCTCTTCATAAATGCTTCCATCTTCTTGTGAATTATTGGGTGGTAAGCCATTTAAATTAAGTGACCCATAAAAGAAAAACACTTGCAAAGCACTCACAAGTTGCTTCAGCCTAGAGGATTGTGAGCAAAAGAACATTTGTAGATATTCAGTGCCATCTTTTTTTTTGGTATTGCTGGCCAGTCAGCTAGCGAAGCTAACCATCATTGGTAAGGTGCATGATTTCAGTTTAGTGGTCTCTGACAGTAAGTGAGGGAGGGGAGGCTGTGAGGTGTGAGTTGCCCGAGCAGTTCTGCACAGATATAACACAGGTGCTTCACTCTGTCATTTGTTTTATGTATGTAAGTAATGTGACAAATTCACTCGATTATCTCAAACACACTGGAACGGATAAAAGACTGGATTTAAAGCTTGGGCACATTTTCATATGTTATCTTGTTGTAGACGTCTGATAACTACACTTTATGCTGTGCAAAATGTCTCTGAAGCACAATCAAGCCTCTTAAATACCAGACTGATTTTGAGTGGAAGTTGGAACCATTTATTGAAGGATGTGTCATCAACAGATGATGCAGCTGTGGAATATGATACACCTACTGCTGTTGTCATGGTTTTCTTTGGAGGTCAAAGAAAATATGTCCATTTTTGGTTCCATCTAAGAAACTATTGTCTTTTTTTCCCTAAATAGTTTAAAATTGTACATGTGACTCCTGTGATTGTTCCTATACTTACATCTACTGGCCTCTTTGTTAGGTACGCCTGTTTAGCTTCTCATTAATGCATATATCGAGTCAGCCAATCACATGGCAGCACTGTGCTATCATGTTAATGTAGATCAGAATCTCAGGAAGGTTTCCAGCATGTTGTTAAATCTATGGTATGAATAATTAAGGCAGTTCTGGAGGAAAAGGGGTCCAACACAGTACAAGCAAGGTGTACATAATAAAGTGGCGCGTGAACATAAGTATCCTGAATAATTGTGAACACGGAAACTGATATAAAAGTAAACCCAAGACCTTTTTAAATAATTTGCTTCTTTCTGTTCACCTGGAAGAATGAACCCTACGTGATCTCAGGGGAAAAGTCAGACATCTAGAATAAAGATATTTTTAAATATGTTTGAAGCAAAAATTTGTCCATAACCTTAATAATTTACAAAACTTTGCTATAGCCGTGGCAGTGTGTGTGTGTTATGTACATGTTCAGGCTGAGTGATGTAATGTCAGTGCAATTGATACATTTGCCGACAATAGTCAGGCAGCTAAGGCTGACGTATCCTTTATTTAGTAGAAATATTGTGCAACCAAGCAGAAGAACATCTTTCTGTTCTATTACCTGTATAAAAAAACTCTGTATATGACTATAATTATTGGATGCCTATATCAAAATCATAATTTTAATGCACAGGGGTATTAATATTAACATTAACCGCTTTTTTTAAACAAAGCTGGTAAAACATTTGTCACATACCATATAATTAACAATCTCATATGTTAAGGTGTTCCCTAGAAAGCTTTCGCTACAGTATTCAAGGAAAAAATATGCATGTGTGTCCTACAGGGAAGCACCCCAGTAAGATTAACGTTTGATCAACCAGCTTAAGTGTAGGTCACACTGCAGTGTACTTTAGAGCTTTATGGATGCGGTACAGATGCCCTGGGCTAAGTTAATGTTTTTGTACTGTATGTTAATATCACAGATGGTGATTTGTGCCTGAAGCCTGGAATATTTTTAGTTATGATTCAATGACACAGCACAGTCGAAGGACAATTTGAGTTTAACTTGCAGAACTGCCACCACACTGTGTGGTGCCATACACATGGGACTAATTTAAGTTTTACATTATTTTTCTTTAAAAAAAAAAAAATAGATTTACAGTCATGGTAAAAATGTGTGGCCTCTGTCAGTTCTGAGGTTTACATATGAGGGCATATTGAAAGTAAATCATGCTCTTAAAGTTTCTGAAATACAACCTCAGATGAACAACAATGCGTGACGTATTACACGGTTTAAAAAAAACAAACTAAGCCAAAATGCAGAAGGAGTGTGTGAAAAGAACAACCAGTGACTGAGTAGCTGGTAGAACCACCTTTAGCAACAATAACTTGAATAGCTTCCTGTATGACTTTATCAATCTGCCACATCATTGCGGAGGAATTTTGGTCCACTTTTCTTTAACGTGTTGCTTCTTTTCTTTTTCAGCCATTCTGGTATAGAGTTGCTGATGTGATTGGGTTCATTGTCCCGTTGAAAGAACCAGTTTTGGACAAGCTGTAGCTGTCAGACAGATGCCCTCACATTTGACTCTAGAATACTTTGGTATACAGAAGAGTTCATCATGGTCAAGTTAGTGATATCAAGGTGCCCACTTCCTGTGGCTGCAAAACCAGCCCAAATCATCACCCGTCCACCACCATTAGAGCTGCTATAAAATGTTTGTGCATTTTTTGTTGTTGTTTGTTTGTTTTTGGGTTGTTGTTTTTTTTTACCAAACATGAAACTACACACTATGGTCAGACATCTCCACTTTGGTTGTTCAGTCTTTTCCTGGTTGCACTGTCACGAATTTGAACATTTTGCATGCTAACCGAGGCCTATAGACTCTGATTTGATTTCTCTAAGCACCTTAGGGCGAATTTGGTGGTAAGGCTGTACTTAGTTCTTCACACACTACTTCTGCATTTTTACTTTTTTGTCTTTAAAAAAACAACAACATATTGTAATATGTGAAGTTTTAAAGTTCATCTAAAGTTATATTTACCAAGCCATTGTAAGGACTAGACTATTATTTTTCTTATGTGCGGATGCTTGAAACCTTAGAAATGAAAGGTTTTTTTTGTTTGTTTGTTTGTTTTACCATTTCTTCGGATTTGTCAGTTAAATTCGGTGTGTGTGAGCAATGTTTACATTCAAAAGTGTTTTTTCTTTTTTAAAATAATTTTGCAGCACTCACTCAAATCTCCTGGCTGCCAACCGGACTTGTGAACTCCTAGCTGGAATAGGTTTAGTTTCCACATCTGTGTTCGTTCTGCAACACAGAAGAGGTTGCTGTGACACTGAGACAGGACAGCTTCAATTATCCCTTTCAATTAAAAAAAACAACATTTTAAAACTCAATTTTTGAAGTTGCATCTTAATCACTGTGAGTACCCCGCTGTGTCTTGTTCTTTCTTGGCATCATTTGATCTTTGGATCCAGCTGCCGTCCTTTTTTAATGTAGACCGCACCCTGATGTTTTGAAGCACCTGGCTTCTGTTAATATCTACAACACACACACTTTTATCAGTACTGCATACCAAGAAATATTTTTTTCTTCCATGTTTAATCTTATCAAATACTCACCTTTTGACATGCTGCTGATGTTTTCTCAGATGTTCAACCTGAGGAAATATTTGATGAAAAACTTTCTGTATGTTTCATCTGTCATACTCTACACTCATTCCCAACTCACCCCTTTCGCAACCTGTAAAGCTGTATTCCTATACACAAAAAACTCATCCACCATGATAAAGTGATATTGAAGCATTTACTCTTTGTTATTAACACATGTGGACAGTTATTATCTGAATAAAATCATTTGAGCATACCAGAAGACGTTCCACAATAAAACTTGTGCAAAAATCGAATCTGCTTGTAAACACTATTAACAAATGTCCCTCGTGCTCTCCCCTCTCCCCAGTCTCTCTGCATCTTGTCATATTGCGCATCTGTTCTGTATTCTCTTCAAGCGCCTGTTAACATTTTGACCTGTGCTTAGTGCTTTAATCTCTTGTGATGAATCTTTCTGGAGATGTGCCAGCCCCAATTAAGCAGGTCAAATTCATTATTCATAGAAAAGGAAAGCAATTCAGATTTGGTAATGAGGCCTTCCTCACACAGGCCACGAATAGGGGTGTTAAGTCTATTTTTGTGCCGTATTGTGTTCTCACCTGTTTGTGTCAGAGCAAATCAGTGCCGGTCCTCCTCCGGGTCTCTGTGACACGCAAATAAGATGGCAGAAATACCTTCACCAGAGCCCCCACCCCCTGCAGTTTCAGATCCCGCCCCCCTCTCCTGTTAGTTTTGAAGTGCCGCACCTGGATGATGCTACACAGGCTCATTGAGCAAGCGGATAGGCTGGGTGATAAGAGGGGCAGCACTGTTTTGTGGTTTCGATTTTTCTGAGTGTGAGAAGTCACATTCCAGAGATGTTTTCTAGTGAGATTTTCAGTCTTTGCTAAGAAGCAAATTAAAAATAGGCTTTTATAACCTGCCTGACAGCTTAAAGGTATTTAAATGAACCCTGCAGGTTAGTGCTTGATGCTGTTTTCTTTCCTACTAATGGCTATAGCAGGGGATTAAACTGAACTCAATTCTGCTCAATATTAATGTAATCTCTTTATACACTTATTGGTGAGACCCTCCACAACAGTCCCAGTTTTTTATGTGGTCCCATGGGAAAATTAATTGCCCATCACTGAACAATAGCCTTTGAAAAAAAGTAGACAACTGAAAACCTGCATATCATTAACCACAAAAGTTTGTTTGTTTTGTTTTTTCAAATATAAAAAGCTTGTAGTATTGGTTCACCCACAACAAAGACTTTATTTCACAAGCATACTGTTCCAGTTGGTAGGCTTCTAGGAATCAAGCAGGACCAGATCTCAGAGTTGTTAGAATTTAATCTACTGTCTCATCAGACCTTTTTAATAATATTTACATTGAAAATCCTTGAACCGAAATGCCCATTCTTTCCAGTGAAAATAAAAGGGCACAGAGAAAAGCTTAACCTCATTATTTGATGTTTACTTTACATTTTAATAAACTGAAATATTCATATTTTGGTCTGTGGGTGTACGGGGGACTCTGTGTGCAAAAGAAATTAATGCGATTTTTAGTTCTTGTTATGATTGTGGCTCATAGGGTATACAGCAGGTTGGTGGTTGAATTGCTGGCTGTTCCAGTTTGCATGCCGAAAGCATCCTTGGGCAAGATACTGAACCCTGAGTTATTTCCAGTGTGTTTATTGGAGTGTGAGTGTTAGACAGGAAGTACTTTATTTTTGAATAAACATATTGTATAAAGTCCTTTGAGTGCTCAGGTAGAGCAGAAGCCAGTATATAAGAACTGGTCCATTTACTTTTCAGGTTTTTAAACGTAAGGGTATTCGTTTTCTTTCACTGAGGCTAACTCAAAACCTGTAAAGATGCCATGAAAATGTTTAACTTTTTTTTGTAACTGTGTCATTCTTTTTTATTTTTCTAGTTTTCTCCCAGTTTCTATACTTCAGTTTGTAAAGTTTCACAATAGGGATGTGTGTGTGTGGGTGCACAAGTATAAGTATATATATCTGTAAATTTGTATATCTTTTGACGTGTTACTCAGGTTATAAACGCAAATACATGTAACAAATTGTAAGGAAGAATTTATGATGAGTAGCGCATGAACAGGAAGAAAAAGTGTCGACTATTAGTTACTAAATTGTGGAAAGGTGGTGGGATTAAATAAGCTTATGCTTTTTCCTACTCCTTTTTGAACATGTAAGTTATTTATAATTATTATTGTTTTATTTTCCTTTAGTTTTGATTTGCTTGTTTGTCTATTTAAACATATTCAAAATAAAGATACAATAAAAATACAAATAAAAGTATTGCTGCTTAGACAGAAAATATTTGAACATTAAGTGGAATCCAATAGAACCACTTCTTTTCCTGGTTCTCTCACAGAACAGTATCGAGATAAAACAGAAACCATCGAAGTGGTGAATGATGTGTACAATTAGTAATGAAGGAGTGTACATTTTTTTAGTGTCATTAAAATGCATGTCACACACATAAAGGGGCCAATGTTAAAACCGTGTGTCTTTTTCAACACAAGTAAGGTATATTACTACTCATAATAAGAATAACAGTAGGAATTTTGGTGAGTCTAGCAACACTACTCCAAAACTACTGAATGTACTGTGTGAGAGTTGTTTGTGATACCATTACAGGGAGGTTGTGCTTTGAATGCACCTTCTACGCATCTGTTTTAGCCCTGCACTTAACAGCATCCTCCCTTAACTCCTTCACTGTAACACAACGCACTATTGAGAAGACAGGTCACTCCTCCGCTGATGCCCCTGTAGTCAGTTTAGTCTATCAGTCTTTTGGAAGTGGTGGTTCACAAAATAAAATTTAGAGAGGCTGTAGCATATTTGTTAAGTTATACGCGTACACCCTAGTCGTGTCAACGCTGTGTTGAGATGTAAGAAGTTTAAAATGTCTCATATTTCGCACGCTATATTCTCTGAGTGTTCCTGAACACATCTTTTCTTTCCCGGAAGTGACGTTGATTGTTGTATCGGCGTTCCTTTCGTCGTGTGGTAGCGGCTTTGTAAGTGTTGTTGGTTTAAACCTAATTTTTAAATACTGCTTAATGGATTTTTTTATTTCCTTTATTTTTGGCTGTAATATCACTTCTCTGAAACATTATCCGTGTTACCGAAGACTCGAATTACTGTCGTTTTCAACCTCATCGGCTTTTATAGGAAGCAACGTTTTAGCTTTAGCAGCTAGCAGGCTAATTTGTTCTTTTCATTTACTTGCCTGTTGGCAGCTGATACTTATCCTACAAAGTGTTTAAAATGCCACAGTCGCAGTTTAATCAGAGAATTGTTAATTATAGGTTTAATTGATTGACCTGGAATTTTAGCATGTGAACAAATGATATTTATTAGGAAGATTACGTAACTTGTAATCTAAATGCCTCTCAAATGTTATTTACGTTGCTAACATGGAAACACATGCAAACTATAAGCGGTTTGAACACCACTGAGGTTCAATGAATGGATGGTTGATATTTGGGAAAGGGTATTGTTGTACCAGCTTGTCTAAAAACCAAAAAGATGAGCCTTCTGACTTTCTATAAAACACATAAGTGGAATAAACGCCTGTTGTGTTGTAGGGAACTGCAATTTCATAATGGACACCGTGACTTTTTTTGCTTTTACTGCTTGCAGCTTTTCCATCTGTATGATAGTTTTAATGTCCCCTGTGTCCAATTGCAGAGCCATCAAAGATGACTACAGCTGCAAGACCAACATTTGAGCCGGCAAGAGGAGGGAGGGGTAAAGGAGAAGGTGATTTGAGTGCTCTCTCCAAGCAGTACTCCAGTCGAGATCTTCCAGGTCACACAAAGATCAAGTACAGGTCAGACGATCAAATGTGAATGGAGTTTCATCATTACCTGATCTGATGGCTGGTTAGCTAAAAGGAAAGATGCTTTCGGATCAGTTCCTACTGCATCATCTGTCTGCTCACTGTGAGAGTGGTGAAAGTGTTCCAGAAAGCATTCTGGATGAACATTAGAGTTTATTAATCTGCAAATGTTCTCCCTTCTGCAGGCAGCCTACCCAGGATGCCCCCGAGGAGGTCCGTGCCCGTGACTTTCGCAGAGAGCTGGAGGAGAGGGAGCGTGTAGCAGTACGTGAAAAGACCAGAGAGAGGGGACCAAGAGGTTGGTCTTTCTGCAGAAATTAGACTTCCTGTTAATGTAAAATATATTTTAGATTATATTTCTTTTCTCACATATAGCATTATGTTGGTCTTATTTTTTCCAGAGCACACCACATCATCATCTTCTTCTTCATCATCTTCAAAGAGGCCAAGACTAGATCAGATTCCAGCTGCTAACCTTGATGCTGATGATCCTCTCACTGATGTAAGTGTCTGCAATGCAAGACATTTTGGGCATTTAACTTGAGTGGTGATTAGTACTGATTAATCTCCCTTAATAATTATTTTTATTTTATTAGGATGATGAGGACGAGGACTCTGATGAAGATAGTGATGATGATGACACCGCAGCTCTTTTGGCTGAATTGGAGAAGATTAAAAAAGAGCGTGCTGAAGAGCAAGAACGCAAAGTAACTTTGTTTTAGGCTGTTCTGTTTGCACTAACTGAAATAAGGCATTATATTTGAACATAAGATATGTTACTTCTTTATATTCAGTAAAATATTATTTTTTCCATCTTAGGAGCGAGAGCAAAAGGCAGAGGAGGAGAGAATTCGAATGGAAAATATCTTGAGCGGCAATCCACTGATTAATTTGGCTGGACAGCAGCAGCAGAACCAGAACCAGAATTCATTCAGAGTCAAGAGAAGGTATGTCTCACTTATACACACAGTAAAAACACAGGATGAGGTTTGTATTTGGGAAAAAGACCTCTTAAATCTAACCTTGATTTTATTTCTTAATATTATTCAAGGTGGGATGATGACGTAGTGTTCAAGAATTGTGCCAAAGGAGTGGACGAGGCACGGAAGGAGAAACGCTTTGTCAATGACACACTGCGCTCTGAATTTCACAAGAAATTTATGGAGAAATATGTAAAGTAGAGGACTTCCTCTGTGTCATTTGTATTGTTTTTGTTTTTATTATCAAATGTGTTTGGTCTCCTTCCTCTACCCTCTGTTGCAGAGGGTACATGTTTTTTCAAATAAACTCTGTATAGAACTTGATTAATACTTGTACAGTCATCCATCTAGCCATGCTATTAACCACATATCCATCTGTACAGTCATGCTGTATATAAATGTGTCAACGTGACATCCTTTGAGTGAAATTTGTCAAAAGTTAAGTGCAGTTTTAAAATGTGACCAGACATTTATTTTCTTTGGGGGGGTTTTTGTCAGCTGGCAGAGATTATATAACCTAGCATCTCCACAAATGCACAGTTAGATTAGGATCCAGTCAGACCATCAGAAGGAAATATCTTCCTTCTGTTTAGCCGCTCCACGCACACAAACATTTCATTCTAAACAGTGTAGAGATCTGCAGTCAAGCCTTTATTTCTTTATGCAGCCATCTGTCATTGACTTTTTCCCTGCTTATCTTATTCAAGGGCACAGGGGCGCTGGAGCCTGATTTAGACTTCTGTGGGAAATTGTAACGTAACCGGAAAGCCTTCTTAACCCTACACCGCAACCTGACCTGCACCTCTCAAGAAATATAGCTACATCTCAGGTCGATGCAGACTGCAACAACTGAATGACATGGAAGGTTACAGTGTAGAGTTAAGACGGGTTTCGGTTGCAGTAGAAGGTACAACTTGGATTTCCTGCAGAAGTCTAAATCAGGCACATCCCAAAGGCATAATACACCCTGTCAGTCTGTCACATTTCTTGTGGAATACTTTTTTCAATAAAGTGTCTTCATATTAAACTGCTTTATGAACCCTTAAAAATAAACAGACTGAAAAATCAACAGCACATCAGTCACCAGGGTACTGTTATCATATACACACACAACTTTCCAGTAAAATAAAGGTGCAAGTTTTATGTTAATCTTATCCGAACTACATGTTCCACTTCATCAAGATTAAAATATTCCCAGTTTATTACTCATTTAATGAATTGTCTGTAATTATGCAGAATTGTTGAACAATTTGAGCACATTTAATTTTGGTGTATTTCCATGCAGATGCAGCTTCTCCCTTCTTATTAAACCTAGCTGCATACAGTAGACTTCTTGTCTAAAATCCATTTTGCATTTGAAATTATCAGCTTTATCTCATTCAATAGAAAGTAGCAGTAAAGTAATGCAAGAAATTCTATTGTTCTTGCATTAAGTCTTTCATTAACCCGAATGTAAACACGATGTAAGTTACTGTCGGTACTAAAGTTAATTTTACTGCACTTGAGCCATTTCATTATTCCAGCATTCATTATTATGGACCCAAGGCAGTGACATTACCCACGTGGACGTTGGGTGGGTAATTAGACAATGTGTACGTCTTCATTAAAATAAGCATTATCCTGTCATCCGCTTTCTACTGCGTAGCCAGAGGTTTGGCACGAGAGAAAAGCGTTGCACGCGATCAGTTGTAGTTCCACAGAGAGACAGCAGAGGGCGCGCCCTCCAACGATCCTGCCTGTGACGGGGATTGGGAGGCTTCTGGGAAAAGATGGCAGCTTCCTTTTGTTTGTGGGGATTTGCTTCACTCGGAGGAGGGATTTAAAAGCGTTCAGTGGCTCTTTAACGGTAAAGTCTTGACTCGCAATACCGGTTATCCAAACGCTTGAAGAAGGAGAACATGGAGAAGAGCGGGAGTGTCGACAGCTTGGGCTCGAAGCGCTCCTCTTCCCGACAGCCGAGTGTAGATTCATTGTCCAGGTAGCTAAACTCACCGCCAGACACCGCCTTTTAAGCTAACCAAAAGTTTTGACACTATCGGCAGGGGTTAGTTATTAAGGCTTTATAGCTAAAGTTAAGCTTGTCTAACTTCAGTACACTTCTTGTAAGCTTTTCAGCTGTGACTAATGTTATCCACCTACGAGCGCTACGAGACCAACGCAGCTTAAACTGTAAATTAGGACAACGCAGTTTTATCGATCCGCTCCAGTAATCACTCAGGCTGCGATGTGATAGAAATGTCAAACGGAAACTAAAAGAGCCTCGATGTAGTAGAGTGTTTGCTCAAACACTGTCAAACTTATTTCAGTCCATGGACAACATAGAGCCCAGTTTGCGCTCGTGTGGGCCAGACAAGTTAAAAACACTTTCTCAAATCATGAAATATTTTTAGAACATTTTCTTCACAGCCACGTCTGATTTGCCTCAAAATGTTGTGGTTTGGATATATCTAATAATTGCTGTAACGTGTTAGTTTCGTATATCAGATATTTTTGAAGATGGATTAAAAAAGAAGTTCCGTCGACATAAATAAAAGCCTGAAGTTTTCACTGGCTCCTTTTGCCATAAAATTGAATCGGGATCTGCAATAAAAAAAAATAAAAATAAAAAAAAACACAAAAAAATCCCTCTCAGTATGGGTTAATTAAAATACAGTAAATAAATATGTAAATAAAAATCTCATTACAAAAACAACTAGTTTCACTTTCTTTTGCGATATAGTTGTATTTTATAGTATTACAAAATAAAACATGTAGAATAGCTTTTTGACATAAACTTCTTAGTTGAAAAAAGAAAATGCAAATCTCATTCAGCTTTCATGTTGGATTGAGCAAACATGACAAGCTCTATCACAAAAACACCATTAGATAGTTTAATACAGATAGATCAAAATTCTGGAGTTTCCAGATGATATTCTAATTATAACTGAGAGCATAATTTAGTTTAGTCAAGTATATGTATATTTTTTCATTTCTGACAATTACTTTATAGGCATGCATATAAAGTAGGAGTCTGATAATTCAGGTTAAGTTTAAGATATGCTCAGAGGTACTTAAAAATGCAGCTGTTCCAAGGTAATATTTTTTGCACATACAAATGAATATAGAAAAACTATTAAGAGAAATGAGAAAGGGATTAGTAGCTCATTCCATGTGAGTATTGCAAGGTCAGGTACGTGTGCACACGGTGAAATCAGTAGTCCGACACAAGACACTAACCCCTCGCCCTGATGTCACCGGGTGATGAGCATGCTGCCGGAATTGTAATCTGTTTTAAAATTTTACATTTTTGCATTTTTAGTGTTAGTATCCTGTATAATTTTAAACTTAACCTCAGTTTTACGACTCCTTGAGGGCATTGTGCATGCCCAGATCCATCAGAGTGGATCTGGAAAATGAAAAATATACATTTGACATATTTTTTCTCAGTCTGAAAAAAAAGGGCCAATCTCTGTTTTTTTAGTCATTGAGTCTTCTGTCATTACATATACGTATACGTATAGATACGTATAAAAAACTCCCCCCAAAAAAGAAAAGACTGCACCTAATAAATGGTTCTCACTTGTGTGGTGTCACTTTCCACCAGCACTTCCACCTCTCGCTCTGACCGCTCTGCCCAGGCCAAACCACCATCTGCTATGTCCTCGGATTCTGTGTCCACCTCTGCAGAGTTTTCCCCAGAGCTCAGGGTTAGTGACCTGCATATGTTTCACCACTATTATTTTTCCATGAAAATATTTTTTTTAATTTAAAAAACTGAAGCGTGGCTCTCCTCTTCTTTTTGCAGGTCAAGCCCAAAATATCTGCCAAGGTAGATGATTTTACACATTTAATTTTACCCATCCTATCCTATATGTTTGAGTAACATTTCCAGTCAAGAGACCACTCAGAACTAAAGTGGATGATATGTTTCCAGCAGGTCATCAGAGATTCAGACAAAGAAGAACCGCAGTTGCTTCCAAATGAAACCGTGCAAGACATGGGTAGGTTTCCTTTCATCTGCAATTACAGCCCATCAAAACAGCAAAAATGCATCATCACCTTTATCCTCTTGCTTTTATTCATAGCCCAAGATGTCACCTACTTCTGTCCTTTCACTGGAGCACTGAGGGGAACTGTGACTGTCACCAACTACAGGCTATTCTTTAAATCTATGGACAGGGTATGTTATTGATTATTTTTAATTTGTATTTTGAAGATTTATGTTTTTTTGTTAATGTCTGGCTGATTTCCAGGACTCAACATTTATGTTGGACTTGCCACTTGGGGTGGTGAGTCGCGTGGAAAGGATTGGAAACGCTTCGAGTCGTGATGTGTCCTATGGGCTGGTGTGCAAAGTGAGTAAGCTTGTGAAAGTTGTAAAGAATTACTGCTTTTATTTTTGATTTACAGAATCACTAAGTTGCAAAATAGCCAAGTAGTTTACAGCTATTCAACTGAGAAGCAGAGACAGAGCTGTGTAATCTCTGCCAGAGATAGCCCATTAAGAAATAGTGAAGTTTCACAAAGATCTACTTCTACGTTACCTTTCTTGGTAATAACGCTTGACTGTGATGAAATGATACTTGCATACAGCTGCTAGCCCTTGAGTTTTTCCTTGATTTGTTGCTCTGCATTTCTACAGGATGTGCGTAATCTACGATTTGCACACAAACAGATAGAGGACACCCTCAGGAAGTCCATTTTTGAAGTGCTGATGAAATTTGCTTTTCCTGTTTCCAATGGGCTGGTAAGTACTGCCCATTGGCCATTATAGCCCTGCACATACAGTACTGGGAAACGCATATTCGTAGTCCTCTGAAAAACTAAGTTCAATTTTAATTCAGTTAGATTTATATAGAACCAAATCACAGCAACAGTTGCCTCATGGCACTTTGTATTATAAGGTAAAGACCCTCCAATAATACAGGCAAAACTCCAAAAATCAGACGACCCCTTATGAGCAAGCACTTTGGCAACATTTGAAAGGGAAAGACTCCCATTTAACAGGAAGAAACCTCCAGCAGAACCAGGCTCAAGGAGGGGCGGCCATCACCCGTGACCAGTTAGGGGTTAGGGGAGGAAGGCAGGACAAAGACACGCTGTGGAGGAGAGCCAGAGAACTAAAGTATTTTAGAGTCAAATGTGAAGCCATCTGTTCAACAGTTAAAGCTTGGCCCTAATTCGGTCATGTGATAAGATAATGATCCCAAGCACAGCTGCAAATGTAAAACATAATGGCCAGTCCAGACCTCAACCCATTTGAAATGCTGTGCCTAAACAAATACCTGTAAACCTCAATGACCTGAAGCAACGTGTTCAAGAACAGTGGGCTAAAATTCCTCCACCATCATGCAAGACACTGATAACGTCATACAGAAAATGATTACTTCAAATTGTTGCTCTTAAAGATGGTTACATAAGATACTGAATTGT